CTCAGATTAGATGTAGCTCTTTTAACCTCTGCATCTCTGCTGGCCTGGACTTTATGGTTATTGAACCTGCATTGAGTCCTGACCTTCCAATGACTTGGATTTAAAATTCTCACTGGTGTGCTTAAATTCCTCTCTGTCCCTATTTCCATAACTTTTTTTAAATTCATTTTTGGGATGGGATGAGGGCGTCGCTGGCTAGGCAGCATTTATTGCCCATCCCTAATTGCCCAGAGGGCAGTTAAGAGTCAACCACATTGCTGTGGGTCTGGAATCACATGTAGGCCAGACCAGGTAAGGATGGCAGGTTCCTCCCCTAAGGGACATTAGTGAACCAGATAGGTTTTTCCAACAATCGGCAATGAATTCGTGGATCAATGGATCAAAATTCCAGATTTTTCTTTTATTGAATTCAAATTCCACCATCTGCCGCAGTGGGATTTGAACCCAGGTCCCCAGGACATTACCTGGATTTCTGGATTATCAGTCCAGTGACTATACCAACAGTTCATGGCCTCCTCCCACTGCCCCCCCCCCCCCCCCCCCCACCTTGTGGCATTAGAGAAGGTTATAGTGATAGTGGGTGATGAAGCTGTAAAGGGATTTCAGCAGGAGGTTGAGAATTTTAAATTTTCTTACTTGTCTTCGCCCTAGTTTTGGTGGCATTTCTTTCAGTCAACTGGTGTCTCCCCACATTTCCTGTAAGCCCTCAAGTTCTCGAATCTCATTTTGTGATTCAAATTGACTTTAATTCTGTTTTGGTCCCTTATTTAGGAGGCATCCGAAGTCGTGAATACATTGTACCATAATCCAATCTATTCAGAACTTAGAGATTCAAATTCAAACACATTACTAACTGTTTGTTTAGATAGAAATGAGAAATTCGGAATAAGAAACCATGAAATTCAGCATAAATGATCATTTTGCGATGATATATCTACAGTGGGAGAGGGTGCTGCAGTAATCTCAAACATGGTAACTATGATCTTATAATGATCATTAACATTTCTCAATCAGCCAAATGAAGTTGATTATAGAGAACTGCTTATTGGAAGTTACATAGTCAGAAATGTATAACATTGATGGGAAAGGACACATAGGACTAAAGATGTCTTGCTTCAGTTGTATTGAAACAAAATTGCTGAATTTGCTGGAAAAGTTCAGCAGGTCTGGCAGCACCTGAGGAGAGAAATCAGAGTTAATGTTTCAGGTCCAGTGACCTATCCTCAGAACTGATTGTATAGAAACCAGGTGAGGCTGCTCCTGGGATGTTGTGTACAGTTTTGGTTCCCTTACCTAAGATAGAGGAGACCTGTCATAGAGGAAGTGTGGCAGAGGTTCACTAAGACTGATTTCTGGAATGTTTGGACTTTCACATGAGGTGAGATTAAGAAAATGGAGTCTGCATCCTCAAGTAGAGAAGAGGGAGAAGGGCTGTAGAAACTCAGTCATTAAATATGTGTTGTGAAATTGGTTAGAGTACATGTGGATTAGCCAGGAAGTTAGAATTTGATGTTTGTAAAATGCTAGGGGAAAGCATTGCGTGGTCCCATCAAAAAATGATGCGCTGTTTCTATGCTTAGAGATTTAAATAGATATCAGTGAGCAGCAGCTTGTAAGTTTGCAAGTGCACAGAGAACATCCAAACTGAAACATTTGTGTCAAAGGCTGTACAGTTAACAGGCCAAGCAGCAGTTTTTTTTTTACCAAGACAACAGAGTTTAGAATTTAGGCAATCAATTTGAACCAGGCACTGAAACACTAAAAACCTATCAAATTTACATCTGATGGTTTTGACAACACAGGACCAATCCTATTGTAAAAAATATTGATATGTCATCAAGGGTATAAAAAGGGGGCAGTTGGACAAAGGAGGACAGTTAACTGCTGTCCTCCAGAGTTAACATCTCTCTGCTCTCGAGCAAGAATTGCTGGCTCACACAGACTCCTCTGTGCCTTAGAGAAAGCACCATCTAAAGAACAAAGGTACCCATGGCACAACTAGTTAACCTTCCTGACAGAAGGATCCATGGAGAAGGCACAGAGCATTCCAGAAGAAATGTAACCCGGCTGTAATTTTGAGAGACTAACTTTTTTATATCTTATTTTATATAAGTGGGACTTGTATTTATTGGAACAGCATACCTTTAGAATCTTGTTTTATTTGGAAATAGTTAGAAGGGGGTTTATGCGGTTTGTTAATAGTTTAGTTAATTTGTTCATTGTTAGAGTTAGATTAATAAATTGCTACATGTTGATTCAAAAGTCAGTGTCAGGGAATTATTTTATTTGACCACTAGAAGTTGCTGAAAGGCAGGTTACACCACTTTTCACACTCTTCTTACAGATTATAGGATGAGGTGTTACTCTTTTGGGTGTTTTGGTTTTAGTTCTCAGTGGGGGCTCAACCTCCACTTTATATAATATGATCAAGAAGGAGATCAACAGGGGCAAAACAGTGGCTCAGTGGTTAGCACTGCTGCCTCACAGCACAAGGGACCTGGGTTCAATTCCACCCTCGGGTGATTGTCCGTGTGGAGTCTGCACATTCTCCCCGTGTCTGCGTGAGTTTCCTCCGGGTGCTCCAGTTTCCTCCCACAGTCCTAAGATGTGCAGGTTAGTTGGATTGACCATGGGAAATGCAGTGTTACAGGGATGGGGTCGACCTGGGTGGGGTGTTCTTTGGAGGATTGATGTGGACTCGATGGGCTGAATAGCCTGTTTCCACACTGTGGCATTCTATGAATAGATTTCTATAAGTAACAACATAAAGGGGCATAGAGAGTATGAACAGAAATTACTGTGAGGTAGATCAGTGCGTCTCATAACTTGTTGCACCATGACCCCATTTCAAGGTTTGCAAATTGTCACAGCCAGTCATTGAGAACTCTCAGTTGGTTGCGATGTGACAATGAGGGCAGGAGTATGTTAGACAGGGAGCACTGCTGTTATAGCTCAGTTAGAGATCCATCGCGGTGAGAGTTTGGGACCCCAAGGTTTCAGATCAAGACCCCACTTCGGGTCTGGGCCCCCAATTTGGGAATCCCTGAAGTAGGTGATTGACTGTGATCTCGAACGGGTTTGAGGGGCTACTCCTGCCCCTACCGTTCAATGTAGGATGCTAGCAAAACTCTGATTGTTAACCCGTTACTTAGCATGTCATCGAGTCAGAGAGATCTACAGTACAGCGAAAGTCCTTTCAGCCCATTGAGTCTGTGCCAGCCAAAAACAACCATTTAACTATTCTAATCACATTTTTCCAGCACTTGGCCCATTGCCAAGGTATCACAAGTACACTTCAAAATATATCTTCAATGTTACGAGGGTTTCTGCCTCTCCCACCTTTTAAAGACAGTGATTCCCATCACCC